CGCTCTGGTCTCCGAGCCCTCTGCGTTTGCCAAGGCCATGAAGACTTTGGACGTGGACCAGCCGCTCACGGCCGTGGCCGCCTGGTTCAAAGATCCGGACGAGACCAAGAAGCTTCTCAAAATGCTGGCGGCCACGTACAAGGACCAGGTGGTGCCAAAGACCAAAGGCAAGAAAAAGAGGACCTTGGACGCCGCGAGCAGCCCTTCGAAGGAAGGCAGTAGCAAGCATCCAGCATCCAGCACGTCGGCCTCCAAGAAAACAAAGAAAAAGAAGTCCAAGAAGCATTCCAAGAAGGACAAGTCGGACTCGCGCAAGAAGGCCAAGAAAGATGCCGGCAAGAAGAGCAAGAAGAAGAAGGATAGCTCGAAGTCCGAACAGTCCAGCTCCTCGAGCTCGTCTACTTCGAAGCCGAAGCGCAAGAGAGATCGCAGATCCCCGGCGCCTGCGATGGAAGCCCTGGGGAACTCGCCCTCGCCGGAGAAGTCGCCTGCAAATGAGATCGACCTTGCCTTGGCCACGTGGCACCTGTCCGAGGCGCAGTCCTTCAAGCAGGAGTGGGATGATCTCGGAGGCGTCGAGGACCGTCAGGCCGCGGCGCTGGACCGCATCAACACGCTCTTGGCGGCGGTGCCCGGCAACGTCCTGAAGGCCTACCAGCTGGAGCTGGTCCTGCCCATGAAGAAAAAACCAAGCAAGTGGCGCCAGATCGCGGAGCGCGTAGACGTCCTCGTCACCGCGGCCATTGAGTTCTGGAAGAAGCAGCAGCAGGCGGTCGGGCCGGGCGACTCGTGAGATTGGTAGCCCCGAGCGGTACAGCTATGTCAGATGTGGGTGGTGTACAGTATAAACCTACGCATCGAGGATGTTCCACATATGTCATTTGCCAGCGATCTCAGGCACTCGGTCGGGCAAGGCCCGTTTGCTGAGGGCTGCCATCGCCTGTGAGCTTTTGACATCAACACAGTTGAAAGAATCACCTATAGAGCAGGGCAAGCTTGCTCGAGTAACAAGGCCAAACTGCTGCCGTTAAGCGCCTCGGACCTGCAAAGAGCGCACTGCATGTACCGTGGCAGCATCTCATGGCAATTGTTGAGCAGTGGGACTTAGGCACTTGATGAATGAGTTACACCCTCAAGAAAGACTTGCCTTGTTAGCTTAATTTGCCCGCAGTCTTCATGCCGTCCGTTTGCGCGGGCACTGCGGCCAGCCCCTGCCGCTTCGGCCAAGCTCGTTCCGGTGGGCCGGTCCAGGTTCAGCGGTCCGGAGGGCGGTGTCTCTTCTGCGACTTGGAGAGGCTCGACGAGTGCGTCCATGACGGCCGTGGCCGGACGGCAATCAGGCAGGCCTTGCAGGCCACGGGGGTTCGGACATCTCAGTAACCGTACGCATGCAGTGTCCTCTTGCGCCGTGCCATCTTATATCCTTGCTGCAGGTCTTCTTGAAGAATGATGAGGACATCTTCGAGGAGGCTCTGGCCCGCATCGGAGAGGTCATTCCGGATTTTGCGGACTTGGAGGAAGGCGCACGACGGCTGGTGGCGGCTGGCGACTGGTCGAGGATCCTGGCACAGCGGAGGCGCCTGCGCGCGGAGCCCGCGGCGGAGGAAGACGCCGTCTATCGCCATCGCGTGGACACGGATCGCCAGCGCGTGCGCCACAAGTTTTTTCCGTCCAAGGCCTTGGTCATTCTGAAAGTGCTTCGCGAATAATAATGTGTGCATGTACCCTGCCAGGCAAGGAAGATTTCCCACAGCGGACACTCCTGGACAAACCCCATGTCCGAGGAGTTGAACGCGAAGATTGATGACAAGGCCTTTAACGACAGTGGCCTCCCAGCGGCTCATGTGACCTCCACTGCTGCAGCGATCGAGCGATGGTGCAAGGAAGGGTCTTGGAGCTTTTGCAGCAACTGCCACTTGCTACGACCTCGACATCTGAAGGAGGCCGACGTGGCTCGGACCGCCGCGCCCTGCACGAGCACCTGTCCTTCCTGTGAGAAGCAACCTGCGCCGTGGGTTCCCAAGGTAGATGACGTACCTGAGCCTCTACGGAACCTGTCTCGTGACGTGGCCATGGCGCTGCGTCCATTGGACGTGGACTGCGGCCCCTATCGACGCGGCGATCATGGTTACCGCGTGCAC